GCAGCCTGCTGTCGTTGTCAGGAGCATTCACTGGCTGTGTGACACAAACTCTGAAGATTTCTACCTTTATGTTGATAAATAAAAATAAATTATATATGAAAGGTTTTGAGGGTCACCTCCACATTCAAATCTGTTATTAACAATACACTTAATAGCTTCAGTTATGGCGTAATTGAATGTATTTATTAATACTGGCACTCTCCCTTTAACATACAGCAAAGTGGAGGGGTAATGCAGGGTACAAGAGGTGAGTCACTGATGGTGACTCTCTGATCTTATCAACATTCCTCTGAGCTTGCACACAGATCACAGCTTTTAATGTCTTTTGTTTTGTGTATTTGTTACCAAAGGGACTCTACACCATAGGTGGAGCCTCCCTACACAGCACAGTATTATGAGGCTTCTTCCTGTGCTAAACCATTTCTCTGCTGCAGCTCCACATGGGGATGCTACCAGAGGCACCACACCCATCTCGTTGTACTGTCCCTCCCTAACACACTTGGTATTTAACTGCTGTAGCCTGAGGGGGGATCAAACCCAAGAGTTTATGTGGTGAAAAAGAAAGCAAACAAAAGTCCTCTGTCCTCTGGCTCTGTCCGTGCCATCAGCAGTGCAGTGAAAATCTTCCATTGATTTGAAAATTTTGTTGAATTGTTTGAAATCCAAACAGCAGAAATTCAGATAAAAGCTACAAAAGTAGTGAAAGCTGATGATGAACACTGTAATCCAACCTCCGTAAAGCAGCATTTCATGCTGAAAATACTGAAGATAGTCATTTCTGTGCCACACCCGAATTGGTACAGGCCTCAGCCTGGCCACCTCTATGTAAATGTACACTTTTCCCATGACTGAAAGGTGTGGCATGTAAAGCTGTCCATCTCCTGTTTAATGCAGAACACAAACAGATGGTTATGCTACAGCGAGAAAGAAACACTAAAATTTCTGATAATCTCAAGGATTAACACTTTGATTTATCTGTATATTTGCAGCCTGGGACACAACATTTAGAGCATCAGTCCTTTAATCTTGTTCATCTCTCCTTGTCGTCCTCGCAGGAATGTTTGAGCCTCGTAACATGGCTCCAAGATATCAGGCAGAGGAGAACCATAACATCACACTGGAATGGCGCTTCTCACCCAAAGCCAACATTTCCATCCCCAAACTTAAGATCCACTGTGTGTTTGTGGCTGAGCTGAAGGTGTTTTATCATCTGGACAACAGTGTGGAGGAGTCTCAGGATGAGCAGTTTGCAGGACGGGTGGAGTGTGACAAACACGCTCTCACAGCAGGACGGGTCAGACTTCATCTGTCCAGAGTCAGGACTGAAGACTCGGGCCAGTACCTCTGCAGGATGGCCACGGAATTAGGCAAGAAGGTCAAAGAGTTCTCACTCAACATCACTGGAAAGACCACTCAAGGTTGTCACATATATCTGCTCATATATGCAACAGTTTGACACGAACATTTAAAAGAAAACATCTACTGTGTAGTACAAACAGACTCTAAGCAAATTGACGTAGTTTGTGTGCAAATATAAAGTGTCTGTCATGACTTTGTGTTAAGCGTTGTGTGAAATTTTCTTCGCAGCACCCGTTGACGAACCCAAACCTGTGACACCAACACCAGCGAGGCGGGAAAGAGTCGGCCTCTTTGTTGGACTGGGACTGGCAGCAGCAGCAGCAGCTGTACTGGCTGTGGCTGTCCTGTATCACACACTGCACTCAACCTGAGGTGATAGTAAGATCAGCGGCACGTAACAGAGTTGTTTCAGGTCTCTCCAGCTTCTGCTGCTCCGGAGAGAAATCCACCAGATGGACGGCTGAAGACTGAAAGCTGTCAGCGTTCAAATCCAGCAAAAAGCACTGCAGCTGAGATCAGTGGTGGTTTTCTACCTCATGGTTACCTAACAGACAACAGTTCATAACAGTGATCACTCTTCTACTCAGAGTCCT